AAGCATACAGCTACCTCACCCCTGCCCACACATACTGGATCAGAATCTGGGGCTGGGACTCTCATACGCTGTACCAGGCACCAGTCTCAGAAAAAGTGACTTTCCTTTGCACTCGGTAGAAACCAAGAAGGAGCCTTCCAGGAACGATGTGGAGGAGGGAGAGTGCCTGGAAGGACTGGCTTTCTCCTCCCAGCGCCTGGCATAAAGGGCACAAGTGTAAGACTCTGGCAGACGGCCCCAGGACGCACTCCAACCCTCCTGGCTATGGGATCAGAAAGGAGGGTAACTGGCAAGGTTGTAGTGCCCCGAGCCTTGGACGCCTCATGTGCCCCTGCCAAGCCAGACGGGGGCAGCGCCGCACTCACCGCTGCACTTGGAGGACTCACGTCCCAGGCACGGCTGGGTATTCGGGAAACCAACTCTTGTCACAGCTGAGGAGGTGTGAGGGAGCTTCTGCCTTCTGTGGCAGAGAGGAAACAGTGGTGTAAGGAAAAGACCCCTTTCACCAGAACCAAGAAAACCCTGGTACGAATCCCGGCAATGCCACTGATAAGCTGTGGCCACGTAGAAAACTTTCTCAAAGCGTACTTATTTCACGGCTTGTTAAGGGTTGAGGAACATGTTAAAGGGCACAGCCCAGAGCTATGCGCTCAGTAGGTGACTAATAAATCCCAAGTGAATTTCAGCTCCTTCAATGTTTATAAATTTACCAAAAGCCCTCACATGTCTCCTGCCACTTGAGCCTTACAACTCTGTAAGGACAAACGTCATTATTTCATTGTACAGATGAAGAAGCTGAAACTTAGAGGAGGGAAAACGACTCACCCAAGATCACCTGTCTAGTAAGAGGCTGACCTGAGACTTGGACCCAGGTCTGGGCCACTTGAATTCAGCAAGGTTTCCCCAGAGTTGGCTATCAACACACTAGCTCCTTCCCCATATCCCTGAATCTGCTCCTCCAAATGTGCGCTCTCCCCACCTTCTCACAGGGAGAATTACAAACAACCCAATGCTTGAACAAGCTGGAGATGGTCCCCGGCCCCCATCATCCTGATTAAAGTCAGAGAGACCACACAGCCTGGACTCTCCCTAGGCAGGGAGAAGTTCTTTTCTTCAGAGCCTAGGGTCCCACTGGCTTTGAAAACCCTCTACTCTGCCTGAGAGAAGAATTCTGAGGTCCATTCTAAATGTGGTTGGGGTAGAGACAGGAAAGAAACACAAATTCTTCATTCCGTCCCGACAGATTGTCTCACGGACAGGGAAGAGGGTTCTGAGCACCAAGAGTCTATTTCCCCACCTGAGGGAAACAGAGAAAAGAACTCACATTGAACATCTCAACCCATGAGCCAGTGGCATGCTTAAAGGAGAGCCAGAAGGATTCCCACTATGATGATTCTCCCTAAATGTTTATAAATTTAATACGATTCCAGTAAAAATACCAACAGAATTCTTTTTTTATTGGGGGTGAGTGGGTGGGGTGGTATTAACTAACTGAAAATTCCAAGGAAAAAACCATGAGCAGGGGTGGGAGTGAGAGGGAGGGCTACCAAAACCTAACAAGTGTCAAGACTTTGGAAACAACCTAAATGGCCATCAGTAAGGGGCTAAATAAATTATGTTATACCCACACAACAGAAAACTATGCAACTGTTTTTAGAAAAGATTAAGGAAGCTCTTTACGTATTCATACGGAATGATCTCTAAGATACAGTAGGTGGAAAAAACGAGGTGCAAAACTGGATATACAGCATGCTACTATTTGTATGAAGTTATAGAGAATACAAAAATATTTGCTTCTTGCATTAGTCACCTATCGTTGTGTAACAAATTACCCCAAAACTTAATGACTTAAGACAAACATTTATTATCTGTTTCCATGGGTCAGGAATCCGGGCCCGGCTGAGCTAGGTTGCCTTTGGCTTAGGTCCTCATGAGGTTGTAGTCAAGCTGTTGCTGGGACTGTGATCTCATCTGAAGGCTCAGCTCGGGAAGAGGGTCTGCTCCCAAGTTCACTCGGGGCTGCTGGCAGGCATCAGGCTCTCACGTGCGCTCTCCACAGGGCTGCCTCACAGACGACCTCCCCAGGAGAGCAAGGGACAGCACCCACCATGGAAGCCAGTCTTTCCTCATAACCTAGTTCCAGAAATGACCACCACTACCACTGTCTTCTATTCATCAGAAGCGAATCTGTAAGCTCAGCCCACACTGAAGGGGAGGGGAGTATACAAGGGCATGGATCATTGGGATCTATGGGGCTATCTTGGAGGGTAACCACCCCTGCACTCATAGAGGCAAAGAATATTTTTGGAAGGACACATAGGAAACATTTAACACTGGCTGCCTCCAGGGAGGGGGACTGAGTAACGGGGAACTTTTCACTGAATATACACTTGCACCCTATGAATTTTGTACAATGTGAAAGTATCACTTACTCAAAAAATAAACCAAATTAATTGCAAATTTAAAAAGGACAATTAGAGGGACTCCCCTGGTAGTCCAGTGGTAAAGAATCCACCTTCCACTGCAGGGGACGCAGGTTCGATCCCTGGTCGGGGAACCTATATGCCACGGGGCACCTAAGCCTGCATGCTGCAACTACTGAGCTCGTGCACCTCAACGAGAGCCCATGAGCCACAAACTACAGAGCGCACGTGCTCTGGAACCCACGCACAACTAGAGAGAGAAGCCCATGTGCTGCAATGAAGAGCCCAAGCCACAACAAAAAGATCCTGTACACCTCAAGGAAGACTCCGAGTACTGCAACTAAGACCCAACGCAACCAAAAAAAAAGGAAAATAAATAAAATGGAAAATTAGGATAGCAATTTAACAGAAGAAAAAAGCTAAGAAGGAAAAATTATACTTAAATAATACATAGTTATTACTTAGCACCTTAAACATACTTGTGTCTATTCAGTCATGATTACTTGCTTCAATGAGGGAGGTTTAAAAAGCTCATTTTTATACACACACACACACACACACACACACATACACACACAAACAAACAAGCAACTCCCATTTGCAAAATACATACTCTTGATCATGGCATTCACAAATTCATTCCAGTTCACCTTTACAGACCCATTTCCTGCCACTCTTCTGTCCCCCTGTGAACTCCAGTGACTTGCTATAGTCAACTGTTAATGCTTCCAGTTCTAGGGGGTACAGGCCACAAGCACGATGCCCACACACTTCCAGGAGGTATCAGCTTCCATTCTTTCTCAAATACTGCCTTTGCTTAGACTGTCCCTGTACGTGCAGCACCCTGCACTCCTTTCTGAGCCTCAAGGCCTGACTCAGATGTCACAGTCACCACGAAGTAGTCCCACAAGCAGTTGGCTGTCACCTCTATTCTCTCATGGAATTCTGTTTTGATCTCAAATACAGCATTATTATATTACAGTTTAAATCTCTTCACTTAAAGTCTGGTCCTTGGACCATCAGCATCACCTGGGACCTCGTTAGAAATGCAGAGTCCAGGGCCCCACCCCAGGACCTACAGAATGGGAATCTAAATTTTAACCAGATACCAGTGATTTACATACATTTTCAAACTTGAGAAACACTGGTTTAAATCTTTCCCTGGTTTAACTATAAATCTTTTTAGGGCTCTCCTTCACCTCTGTACCCACAGCACATCATAAGACCTGATACCAAATGTCTTGAGTTAAGTTATTTACAATTATTATATACGTGATAGATTTTTTTTAAATTTCTGGAAGAAAAAAAAATTCCTGGAAGAATATACACCACATTATTAAAAATGATTACGTATCTGGTAGGTGGACATTGCGCATTTTTCACTTTCTGTAATACTTCAATCTTTCACAGCCAGAATGTATTATCCTTACAGGTAGAAAAACATGATGACTTAAAAAAATACATGTAAAATATAACATTATAATACATTCATAAAATGGTATATAATTGTGTTGAGCTAGATTCACAGATATGAAAAACTGGCCAAACTATATTAAGATTTTTTTAAAAGATAATTTAAACAATATTTATCAATAACACCCTAATTGTTTTGTTAAAAAAACTTGTGAATATGGACACTAAAAAGATACTTAACAAAATATCTCTGGTGGAGCTTGTTTTATACTTTTCTGCATTTTAAATGTTTTCTACAATTTTTCTGGGTTTTTTTTTTTTTTTTTTTTTTTGCCATACGCGGGCCTCTCACTGTTGTGGCTTCTCCCGTTGCGGAGCACAGGCTCCGGACGCGCAGGCTCAGCGGCCATGGCTCACGAGCCCAGTCGCTCCGCAGCATGTGGGATCTTCCCGGACCGGGACACAAACCCACGTCCCCTGCATCGGCAGGCGGACTCTCAACCACTGCGCCACCAGGGAAGCCCTCTACTGTTTTTTAAAAAGCATATATCACTTTTGTAATACGAAAAATGTCATTTTCATTTTGAAAAATATCTATATTCTTTATTAAGCCTCTTTACATCCAATGACCCAGATTTTTACACCAGCCCAGGAAGCTGACAGGTCGGGAAGTACCTCAACCATTTCACTGATGAAGGCACTGGGCCTCAGAAACCCAACCCTGAACACCTGACTGTGAGCTGGTGTTCTCCCATCCACGCAGCCACCCCAAGATCAGAGAACTGTAGCAAGTCAGTCACCAGCTTTGGTTTAAAAAAAAAAAAAAACTGTTATTTGAGGAGTCCCACTATCCCCAGTTACTTACTCTCAGATAGTAAGAGCAACAAGAGAACCCCTCCAAACACAAAGCATTCAGAATAATTCATGCTGCACCACCTCCCCCTGGTGGTAGGCTCTGGAAACTAAAATTGTTTTGATGATAAGGAGCTACCGCAATTCGAAAACAGTAACTGTTTTCCACCAACATCACCTCTACTTCTTTATTTTTTAAAAAATATCTATTTATTTATTCGGTTGTGTCAGGTCTTAGTTGCGGCACACGGGATCTTTCATTGCAGCACGCAGGCTTCTCTCTAGTTGTGGCATGCAGGCTTAGCTGCCCCTCGGCATGTGGGATCTTAGTTCCCTGACCAGGGTTCAAACCTGTGTTCCCTGCATTGGAAGGTGGATTCTTAAGCACTGGACCACCAGGGAAGTCCCACCCCTTACTTCTTTAAATCATCAAAGCCACTTTTTTCCATCAAGGAGTTGGATACTGACACAAATACACAAAACCAGGACCTGGTGTCAACGAGGCTCAGAGCTTTGGATGATGCTGGGGGCAGCGGCACTCTCTACCCCTGTCCTTTCCTTCCTTACCACTTCTGTGGCTGTTGCTTCTGCCCCCAGTGTTCTTCTGCATGGCCTTTCCTGCATCCTCTCTGTCTCTGTCCACTCCCCTGAGCCTTAGGAAAGGGCAAGGTGTGACCATGTGCCCTCACCCAGGACCTGGCATGAAGAAGACCCAACATCCAGCACAATCCTCAGGCTCTAGGCACTGACATTTCCAATAAGTCCAGTTGCAATGCTGACATTTCTTTAGAAATATCAGAGCGCAGTAAGGTCGGTCTTCAACTGCATCCCCCTAGTCTCCCGATAAACACACGGCTTCTTCACTCTTCCAGGAAGAAGGACACGTTCAACAGGATATCTGGAACAGGAAGAGAGAGAACACATGGCATACCACCTCTCCAGAAAACACAAAACATCAGATTTGTAAAAGCTACAAAGGCACCATGAGGGCATCTCTACATGCTTTCAAAGAGGTGAGACACAGAAAGAAAGGAGGGGAGGAGACACGAAGGACTAAATGAAAACCAGTACCTCGTACAAGGTCTGGGTGTTCGTCTTCCGAAATTCGGTCCCAGGCTTTGGGCAAAGCTTGGATGTTTCCCAAGTCTCCCCACTGGATTGAGGACAGAAGATACTTCCTCTTCAGGTACCTTCCTGGGAGTTAAGGAAGGTGCTCAAAAAGAAAATGAAATATGCTGAAGGAAGAAAATACCCTGGAGAGAGTTCCTGGGAGCTAGAAAAGTGAAAGCGCAGCTACTGCTACATTTACCAGGTGGGCAGGACTCGCCTCTGCTACACGTCTTTACCAAGCCCTTCTTTACACACATGGCTCTGGGCTACAGGGAAAAGGACAGAAACACTGTCCCTGCAATCTGGGATCTCACCGTGGTGAGAAAAAAACAGAAACTGAAAAGACTCTAAATGACAGGAAAGATTAAATTCAGTGGAAGTTCAGAGGATGACTTCATCGCCTTTAGAGGACAAGAGGAGGATTCCAGCACATAATGGATTCAGGGACAGGACATTTCCAGTGCGGCTGGCATGGAACGATGTGCAGAGTAGCAGGAAAGGTGGCTGAGAGGGCAGGTGGAGCCAGAACACAAAGACCAGCATGGGGGTTCTCGTCCTCAGAGCACCAGAAGCTACTGAAAACTCCTACACAAGCAACAGGATCAGAACGAGACTTCCGGAAGATAGATCTGTGGAGTGAGGCCACTCCCCGGGGGCGGCTTAGAGGGAAAGAAGCCAGGGTCAGAGAAACCTGTCTAGAGACTGCATGTGACTAAGGGTCCAAGTGAGAAACAATGGTAGAGGCAGTGTGGATAGAGAAGGAAACGACAAGAAGCACCAAGGAAACAGAATGGAAGGACTTAACAGCTGAGTGCAAACATTCTTACAACAGCAGCTGGCACACCATAAGCGCTCAGTGAGGGTGGCCCCAGCTACTGCTCCCACTGCCCACGCTGCTGTCGCCACCACTGTGGCCGATGCTGCTACGCTGCAAGCAGAAAACAGCAGGAAGGGGGGAAAATGCTGCTTAAGTTTCCAGACTAAGTGATCAGACAGGTTTGATGCTACAACTTAAGGAAACAGGAGCTGAACAGGAGGGCTGGACGGAGGATTTCAATTCTCCATTTCAGCTTGCAGTTCCGCGAGATTCCAGTGGGAGGCATCTGCAGGAAACTGAAAATCAAAACTAGAGGCAAGAATAAAGGTTGGCTTGGGAGTGATTCAAATGAAGGTAGAAACTCCAGCCAGAGGGTAGATGCGACTAACAGGCAAGAATTGAGAGGAAAAAGGTGAGAGAACTCCAACTAACAGGTCTTTCTGCTTCCACCCAAGTCCTTCCTCAGAACATAGCTGGGTGATACTGTTGAAAACATAGGTCTGATCAGGTTACTCCTCTACTCAAAACCTTCTATAGCTTTCCATCTCACTCAGAGTAAAAGCCAAAATTCAAAGACCTTGGAGGCCCCACCAGGCCTAGCCCTGCCTCTCTGACCACATCTCCTGTTAGACCACCCCCCTTTCACTCGGTTTGAGCCCCACTGGCCGCCTTGCTACTTCCTGAACATACCAGGCTCGCTGTCACCTCAGGGCCTTTACACTTGCTGTTTCTTCTACCTGGAACACTCTTCCCCCATGGTTCTCTCCCTCACCCTCTTCAGGTCTTTTCTCAAATACCACTTTCTCAGTGAGGCCTGCCCAGACCACCCTATTTAAAACCACAAGCCCACCCTCACCCCTCGCTTTCCTCATTCCCTGCTCTATTTTTCTCCAAGGCACTTATCACCATCTGACAATCTATATAATTTCCTTTTTTAAATGCCTATCTTCTAGCACCTAGAGCAACGCCTGGCAGGGAGCAGTTACTCAATAAGTGATTTAAGGAATGACTGTACAAAGGAATGCAGAAAGAATCCAAGTTCAAGAACCAAAGAGAACTGACCCATACTATACATTTTTGGGCAATCTTGTGAAAACTGAAATTAAAAAGACTTCCTGGAACAGTTCTGTACCTGAAATGTGTGCAAAGGATACAAACTTCGATAATGTCTCTCGATATCCTGTAACCACTCCAACATTTCAGCCACAGAGGGGCTTGTAGCTGAAGCCTGCAGGACAGCATCGAGGCTGATCATGTCTGCATGCTGCTCATAGATCTGAAGCACGTGTTCCACGTGGCTGCTGACTACATCACGCACCTTGAGGAGGGCGGCTCTGGTGGAAGAGTCTGATATTAGGCAATATCATGAGAAAGGCCTAAGGCCAGGTTCCTTAACCTCAGCACTAAGGACGTCTTGGACCAGATGATTCTTTGTGGTGGAGGGCTGCCCTGTGCGTTGCAGGATGTTCAGAAGCATCCCTGACCTCTACCTACTAGACGACAAGAACAAACCATGCCTCCACCGTTCCCAAGGTGTGACAATCAATAACGTCTCCAGATATTTACTGCCACACATCCCAGTGGGAAAAACTGCCTCCAAATGAGATCCATTGGTCTATGGAGATTGATGATGGTGCCTTGGAGGCAGGGGTGGCTCAAGAATTAAGAACTGACTTAAAGATGGAGAGGCTGAAGTTACATGGCTCTCAAAGCTGTGTGATGATGTTATTCCCAGCTGCCAAAGAAAGTAAAGGCCAAGCGGGCCTTCTGGGGCTGCCATACAGGAGAGCAAATGCTCACACACAGTCCAATGCAATGTACACGAAAGGAATAAGCAAGAGGAAACTGAAGCAACAAACCAGCAGTGTTCTCATGCTACCTCGTGCCCCATACTAGTGAATTCTTGAACAGGTAAGATTTGGGCTCTTGACACACCCAGACTACTGTGGATCTTAGGAAAGTTACTTATTCTCAATCACGAATAAAAACGGTCTCTTTTGTTCACTGTGCATCCTAAGTACCTAAAACATCGAGACCGGCAGACAGAACAACAAACAACTGTCCAATGAACGAAAAGGATTGTTGTGAAGAGTAAGTGCAACCATGCATATTAAGTGCTTCGCGAAGTGCCTAGCTTATGGTAAATTTTGTTATTATTCCATTGGTGACTCCAAGGGGCCCAGCCACCAAGACGAAGGCTACACCTTCCCAAAGGGCAAGGCAGTCCCTAGCCTAGAACTGCAGCTTTCAAAAATGTTTGACTGTGACTCACAATTAAAAAATAGACTTAAAATTAACAGCCCGGTACTCACACACAAACACGTAATCAACTGAAATAAAAGTCCACTATCTTAGAACGTACCGTGACCTAATTTAATTGATTGTCTTGTCTCTCTCTTTTACTCAGCTTAGGAACTAAGTCTGCTTCATTGTTGTATTCCTAGCACCTGTGCTTGGCATCCCATAGGTGCTTAATAAAATGTTTTTTGTACAAATGAATACAAAGAAGGCCCCATCTTTGACAGTTTCCTATTAGTCTATGGCACAGACTCTACACACTAGAACCTTCTCCTGTCCTGGTCAAGGAAAGGCCATACGTGCCCTGTCTCTTCTCTATCCTCAATTACCGGTAACTCTAAGGTAGAGGGTCTAACATTAGGCATAGTAAGAGCTTAGAGACGTGCTACTCGTGGCACGCAGACACCAATGAACAGCAGAACAAGTGGCCCTGGTGTCAGGCATACTTGGGTTAGAATTCCAGTTTTACTATTTACTAACTGCACAACCATAGGCAATCTGCTTGAGCCTCAGTTTCCTCACCGGAAAAATTAATTAAGTGAGGTTAAGTCAAAGAGGTGTTGGAAAGATTTTATGAGATAATGTATGTAAAACCCTTAGCTCTGGCACCTAATAAATTTACAGTATAGCTCCTCACTGCTTTTTACCTAAGAAAGACTACAGAGGAGGGCCAATATCCCTAAATACCACGCTCTCAAGTAAGAAGAAAAACACCCTTCCGACTGATCCTAGCTTATTAAACACCCAGTTTTAAAATCTTTCCGCCAAGAACGAGCGCCACTGAGCCTCTTACAGCCTCTCCCCTAGCCTGTCCAGGAGAGTGTCACCAGCCGCCAGCTGCTTGCGCCTCAGCCGCTCCTGTAAGTCTGGGAAGTCCCGAAGTGACGGCACATCCTCAAATCGTAGGTTCTGTGCGGCCTGCAGCTGCTCTGCCAGGTTGCTGAGGGAGGCCAGGAGGGGCGGGCAGTCCCTGAGAGCGCTCTGCCACAGGCCCTGCTGCTCCTCCACCACGGGAAAGCACTTCCTCAGGGCCTCCTGCACCGCGAGCAAAGGCTGGTCTTGAGTCATCTTCCGTTGGGGAAAGGAAAAAACAAAAACAAAAAAAGCATTAGGGTTCCAAATCGATAAGGGAAGGACCGGGTCGTGGGTGGGAGTTATTTCCGTTCGCAGGTGGGAACAGCGTTTCCTCAGGTAGGGCCGTCTACTCCTCCCGACAGGAGTTTCTAACGCGAGGCGTTGTCTTACCTTTAGAGGGGCTCTCGGAAGGCAGGACCCTTGTTTCCCACCTCGAGAAGCGTTTCCTGACTATCCCTCGGAGGAGGCTCGTCCGGGTTCGGGCAGTTTCCCGTTTTAGACTGCGGGTTCCCCGGGCCTATCCGTGCGTCCGGAGCCAGAAGCTTGTCTCCTCTCCTTGAGGCTGCGGGTCGCTTTCCCTAAACCAGCGGGAAAACTTAAAGCTAAAGCAATCAAAGTTTAAGAACCTTCCTAGGGCCCCAGCCTGCCTCCGAGTCTCTCTACGCATGCCCCAACATGGCTACCGAGTCGCGAAAATATGCCGTCAATGCCTTCTGGGTACTGTAGTTCTACATGTGGACTGGCTGTCTGATCGCAGAGCTTCCCTGTGATTGGTTATTGTGGGATCCTCCTAAGACGGCGGCTTCTCACTGGTCAGCCTGTGGCAGTTTGAATTTGGTGGCGGCGGTCGCACGTCCGGTTAGCCCCGGAGCCGCTCCCTCTCAGCTGAAGCAGCCAGGTTTTTCTCAGCCCCTGTTTCGGGACCCACAGGTGGGTGCCTCGCAAATCTTTTATGCCCAGGCCCCGAAGGGCAGGGGTCCCCCTCCAAAGCCCCTGGGGTGCCCTCCGCCCTCTCCCTCACCCTTGCGGCCCCTTGTCCCTCCCCGTCTCCGCCGCTGACGCCTTGTGGCTCGGCCCCCTCTCCCTGCAGCCTCCATAGAAGCGCCATGGCTCCGGCTAGGAAGGGCGGCAGTCGGGTGACCAAGACCAGCTCGGTACGGAGCCGAAAGCTCGCCTCTTTTCTTAAGGACTTCGACCGTGAAGGTAAGGGGCGGAGCCCGGGTGGTCGCTAGCACCTGGGGCAGTCGCGGGGTGCTGGCGGATTGGGGCGCTGGCAGCACGGATTCCAGGCCGCATTCGCCCGCCGGGTGACCCGTGTCCCGTCCGCTCTGCCCTCTCGCAGTGCAAATACGATCCAAGCAGATTCAGTCAGACAGGCAGAACCTCCTCAAGGAGATGGATAACTTGTACAACATCGAGATCCTGCGACTCCCCAAGGCGCTGCGCGAGATGAACTGGCTCGACTACTTCGGTAAGAGCTGCTACTCTTTCCCCAGGCCTCGGCCTGGAGCCCTTCTGTGGTTACCATGGCAGCCTTCGTCTTCTTAGTGAGGTCTTCCAAGATCACTGTAGGAAACTGCAGCCCTCCTCCTTCCCCCCACTCCCTGTCTCACCTCCCGGCTTTACTTTTCTCCTTAGCTCTTACCCTCATCTACCTCTGCAGGCAGGCAAACGTTTTCTCTAAAGGACCAGATAATAAATATTTTAGGCTTTGTAGGCCAGAGGGTTCGCTGTCGAAACGACTCAACTTTGCTGTTATAGTTCCAAAACAGCTGCAATGAATGGGCATAGCTGTTTTACAATAAAAACTTACTTATGGACACACTGAAATGTGAATTTGACATAGATTTCACGTGTCATGAAATACTCTTTTTTGGGGGGACGGGGGGGGGATATTTTATCCAACCATTTGAAAATGAATGAGTGCATGGCTTGGTTTATTACCAGACCTCCGTTGGAAGGATAATCCCAAGCAGCTCTTCCTGCAGCTTAGGGAAAATGCCAGTTTAAAAATGGGCATATCAAATTGTGAAGTGCCAGGACTCCAGGGTTTTCCTGGCCAGAGAAAAATCCCAGCCTGTTCCCCACCCCCTTGCTAAATGTCCAAGGAAATGCAGAAGGCTGTCCTTTTGCTGGGTTACCCTTACTTTTACTGTTTTCCTTATTGTTAATTACCCAGTATATGGCCTCCTTCCTGGATAGAAATGCATGTTCTGTTCACATAGTAGACGTTCGGTGATGCTTTTGACTTCCCCTTTTATTTATTAACCTATGTGTGCATCTCCGCAGATCTTCATTGAGCATGTGTTAGGCACAGTGCTAGGTGCTGAAGATGCATTGGGAAATAAAACAGGCGTTGTCCGTGCCTCCAGGAACTTACAAGTTGGTGGAGAAGGATCATTTTTTAAATTTGGACGTGATTATATATTTTAAGTTATGAGTACTACGAAGGAGAATAGAGTAGTGGTCAATGAGCACATTTATATAGTGCTTTCTATGGCAGACAGGCACTGTACCAAGTGTTTTCCATATATTAACTGATTTCATCCTCATCACAACCATATTAATTGTTAATATTATCCCTGTTTTATAGACAACAAGATTAAAGCACAGAGATTGTTTACTTTGCTCAAAGTCTCATAAGCTAGTTAGTGACAGAGTCTACTTGAACCTAGGCATTCTGGTTCCAGAGCCTGAGTTCTTAACTATTATAGGGGATACTACCAGTTTTTCCAGCCGGAGGACCTAACCTAAGTTTTTATTCTACATCTAAACCTGCAAAGACCTCTTCATTCAGTACACATTTACTCCATACCTACTGTGCGACTTTTTTTTTTTTTTTTTTTTTGGTGTTCGGGGGGCTCTCACTTTTGTGGCCTCTCCCGTTGTGGAGCACAGGCTCCGGATGCGCAGGCTCAGCGGCCATGGCTCACGGACCCAGCCACTCCACGGCATGTGGGATCTTCCCGGACCGGGGCACGAACCCGTGTCCCCTGCATCGGCAGGCGGACTCTCAACCAGTGCGCCACCAGGGAAGCCCTGTGTGACATATTTTTGCCAGAAGCTATGGGTGTTATCTCTGTCCTCAAAGAGTTCAGTTCAAGGCAGGGCACTTTTACAGCTTTGAGTAGTTGTTGGATGTCACGATAGTGAGCAACTAACTCAGCACATTGCAGCGATCTGCTGAGAGAGAAAAATAAGCAGAGTTTGCGTTTGAGCTGAGTTTTCAAGTATGAATTAGAAATTTTTTGGGTGCAGAGGATTATTTCGGGCAGAGGAAATAAGTACCAGGGCACTGAGTCATGAGAGACAGTGGCACATTTGGGAAATAACAGGCACTTTGGTGTGGTGGAACCTAGAATAAGCCATGAGGGGAACAGTCAAGCTTGGAGAGAAATTAAACTAGGTTGTAAAGGCTCCTGAGTGTTGGATCAAGGGCTTAATCTGGTCAAGTGTAAGAAAGGTAAGTGGTCATATTAGGGAGGATGGTTTATTATTTAAATTATTAGAATCTGATAGTAACTAAACAAAACGTTCTTTTCAAAGCCCTTGGAGGAAACAAGCGGGCGCTGGAGGAAGCAGCAACAGTAAGTGACTTCTCCTATTTTTGAACTGTTGGTTAGTTTTAAGTTTAGTCTGTTCACAAAATTCAACCAGTGGGTGCTGACTGTGGAAGAGGTTCCAGAGGGGAAGTATCTGTGTCAACAAAAAAATTATAGTTGTCAAATGCTGAGTACATGAAGCCCAGATAATTTCAAGGTTTATAAAGAGAGGTAGTTCTTTTTTTGGCAGGTTCCTTGCAGCTCTTTGCCGGGACCTTTGCAGGGGAAGTAGAAAGCCTAAAGTCCAAGTTCCTTTAAGCCCCTGCATCATTACACGGTGACCTGGCCTGCTAGATGAGGCAGAATAAAGAGTTTAGATCTGCACTGTCTGTTAACAGTAGCCACCAGCTACGTGTAGCTCTTTAAATTAATTAAAATTAATAAAATATTCAGTTCCTCAGACACACCAGCCACATTTCAAATGTTCAGTAGCCACTTTCCATTCCATCATCCGTTTCAGACAGCACTCGTCTGTCTAGCACAGCACTTTCTAAGCTAAGCCTTGACAGCTTCAGAATCCTCGTCTGAGTACTCCATGTAGTCTCTGCCAGCCCAGAGATGAAACCTGTGTCATTCCTAGTCTGTAACGACTATTCTGATATTTACACATGCCCTGCAAGAAAAGGCCTGTGAATCATGCCTGCTTTTGCCTATTCCCATACATATAGTTACCACTGGGAACAAATTTAATTAGAATGGCGACTGGAAGCCTTTTTGAAGGCCCCAGGGGCATAGTATAAAAACTTTTGGCCTTCTAGACTTTAAAAAATAAAAAAAATTTTTTTAAGGTAACTATGTGAGGTGCTGAATGTGTTAATTAACTTGATTGTGGTAATCATTTCACAATGTGTATGTATCACAAATCCTCATGTTGTACACTTTAAATATGTTAGAATTTTATTTGTCAATTATACCTCAATAAAGCTGGAGGGAAAAAATGAGAAGGCTGACATAGCATCAAGTGTGGTAGAGAATATGGGTCATTAGGAACTTGTTTGCTCCTGGCATGTAAACAAGTACAATCACTTTGGAAAACAATTTTGCATAATATTAAAGCTGAACACTTGTGTACCCTACAACCCTGTAATGCCCCATCCCTAAGTATATAGCCAAGAGAAAACTTGGACAGGTGTGCATCAGACACATGTATAAGACAGTTCAAAGTAACAGTGTTTGTAATAGCAAAATACTGTTGAGAGGAGACTGGACAAATCCATCGTGATAGATATTACATAGCAGTGAAAACAAATTAACTACAACCACGAATAGTGATCAAAAACAAAAGCAAACAAAATATTGTTTAAGCACATACACATTTGTGGAGAAACACACACACACACACACTTTCTTTCAAGCAAATGGAATGATGATAGTGGTTATCTCTAAGGAATGACAGAATTAGGAGACTGGTCACCTTTCGAGGAGAGGCAAGGAAATAGAACAGGGAAAAATACATAGCCTAGAAGCAAGTAATTGGCAATGTTTTAGGCCTTCGTTAGTATGGTGGGTTTATGGAATTTCAGTATTTTGTATTATAACTAACATAACAATCTTTTGTATGTATCAAAGAATATGTTTGGGGTTTTTTTGTTTTTAACATTTTACTTATTTATTTATTTATTTGGTTGTGTGGGGTCTTAGTTGCGGCAGGCAGGCTCCTTAGTTGCAGCTCGTGGGCTCCTTAGTTGCGGGAGATGGGCTCCTTAGTTGTGGCATGCGAACTCTTAGTTGTGGCATGCATGTGGAATCTAGTTCCCTGACCAGGGATCGAACCCGGGCCCCCTGCATTGGGAGCACAGAGTCCTATCCACTGCGCCACCAGGGAAGTCCCAAGAATATGTGTTTTAATTAATGTTTTTAATCTTAAAATATTGTTCCTCATGTTTGATGGAATATACCTTTTGTTTTCTGGCTGTGTTCATTACAGGCTGACCTGGATATCTCAGAAATAAACAAACTAACAGCAGAAGCTGTTCAGACACCCCTGAAATCTGCCAAAAGTGAGTACTTTTCAAAACCCCTTGTTGAACTGAGAGAATGAAGGCCTAGTGTGGT